AGAATATTTTCTCACTGCTTCAGTGATTAAAAATTGTAAGCTTGGTTTTATTCCAAAATAAAGTATAAATGGAATGCCTTTTGCTATGCATGGGTTTTCAATAAGCAGGAAAAACATATGGCATTCTCTCCTCCCCTCTTACCTCCCAAATACCACACTCCTCTTTGTCTTCCTGCCTTCCTTCTCGTACATGTGGTTTATTGAATATGGATGGATGTGTCTTATTTTAGTTCTGTAGATCTTGTTGAAAGAAAATATAATGGTTCAGGAGGGGTCAATGGCGTAATTTTGATGGCAGTGTTATATAGTCAGTATATTAAAACACAAGAAATCAATGTATAACATAAATACTAAAAAGTTCCATTCCAAGCTTCGTGCCTTCTTCAATGTCAGTCCCTAGAACACCTCCTTACCCCCTAACCTAATGTTTCTAAGATGTATTGGAAATTTTCACACTATTATTTCTGCCTGAAATTATATATACTTCTTTCTTTACTAGTCCTAAGAAACTCAAAATCTCATCATCAGATTGTAAACATGTTTTTAAAAACCTGGTTTGATTCTAATTGATGCAAATACTAAGAAACAAAAGTCCTGGATTCAGGTCCTGATTCTGCTACTAAGGTGTGTATTCCACTGGGTATCAGCTCTAACATCCTTTTCCTTCTAAATTCCAGATGTTTGTGTTTCTATTCACAAATTATTCCATCTTCTGTCCTATAAATACCATGGCCTTGTCTACATTACAAACAATTGCAGTGCAAACAACTCTCTAAAATAATTTGTAAGATACAAATGCTCCTGGGGCCACAATGTATACTAGTTGGTAAGGAGAGGGAACTGAAAACTTACTATAAATCTCAAACTATTAAATTGTGAATTAATAAGGGAAGAGACCAAAGCAAAAGTAATTTTTTTAGTTATTTCTGCAACAAAGTGACTAATTTTTAAATTACTGTTATGGACTGAATTATGCCCCCACCCTCAATTTCTATGTTGAAACTCTAACCCTCAGTACCTTAAAACATGACTGTAGGCCGGGCGCGGTGGCTCAAGCCTGTAATCCTAGCTCTTGGGAGGCCGAGGCGGGCGGATTGCTCGAGGTCAGGAGTTCGAAACCAGCCTGAGCAAGAGCAAGACCCCGTCTCTACTATAAATAGAAACAAATTAATTGGCCAATTAATATATATATATAAAATTAGCCGGGCATGGTGGTTCCTTTTCTGCTTAGACATAGTTTCTTTTTTTTAATGATACACTAACCATGGCACTCACTCTAGCCTGGGCTTCATACATAGACTAAAAAAAAAAAAAAAAAAAAAAAACATGACTGTATTTGGAGATAAGGCTTCTAATGAGGTGATTTGACTTCTAAGTCAAAATGAGCCTGGTATGATGGGCCCGGATGCCATCTTACTGGTGTCCTTATAAGAAGAGGAAATTTGAGTACACAAAGAGACACCAGGGATGCCCAAGACCACGCAAGGACACATCTACAAGCCAAGGAGAGAGGCCTCAGGAGAAACCAATAACTTATTCTTGGACTTTCAGACTCCAGAACTATGAAAAAATAAATTCTGTTGTTTAAACCACCCAGTTTGTGGTATTTTGTTACAACAACCCCAGCAAACCAATCCACCTTCTTAAAATGACATCAACTATTAAGTAATAGACACTTCAATGAAGTAGGCCTTTTTTCTCTTGTGCCATCATCCTGGGAAAAACAGCACATAGAGAGAAATCAATGAGTTATTCAGCTGGATTCACATCACAAAGGACTTTAATCATCAAATTGGGGATTAAAGACAAAGTCTCCCAAGAACCCATCATCAAGGTTATACACTCTAAAACCTTGATATAAGGCCTAAAATAGGATTATCTGTCGGGTCAGGGAAGGGTGACAGGGCAATTCACTGAAAGTAAGAGACAGGATAAGCCATGTACCAATCTCATGGTTCCTACTTAGAGAACAAGTGATTAAGATCTCGGACAATCTGAACATGGCAGGCAGCTCTCTATCCCTGGGCAGTCTTTCCCTATCAATAAGAAAAGTATTGATAAGCTGATGGATCTTTTATTTTTGTTTTTAATAACATTTTACTTCTTTTAGTCATCCATGGTGTGTTTCTGGGGTGGCTTTAGAATAGTTAAATTTGAAGTATAATATCCATTTTGATATAAACGTGTGCTTGACAATGTTTTTCTTTTTACTTATATTACCATTGTTTCTTCTAGGATTACAGGATAGAAACATGTATTTGAACCTGAAAGCTTTTACAAGTGATGGCTGCTCTTAAGCCAACTATGAGGTTTTATATTTTTTATTCTCTATCAAAAATCAATATTTCCTGCTTCAAAGATGCTATACCTCTTTTTTATTTTTTAAAGAAAAGTTATTATATTTAAATTAAGATTATCAGTGCTTCTCTTCTCTTTGCTTGTGTGGTAATATATATATATATATATCTCAGTTCTGGAAAAAAAAAGACTATCTGTGGTATGTGTTTATTATGTGTTTCCTATGTTTACTATGTATAAACTTCCAGTTGATCATATGTTCTGCTTTTGGCCGCCTCTCATCCCCCAGCTTGGATGCCTTTCACCCTCTTTCTAAGTTTGCTGACTACTGGTTCATTGTTCTGAAGAAGCTTCTCTGGTCTGGAGGGATGTATTAGTTTTCTATGGTTGCTGTAACAAAATTACCACAAATTTAATAGATTAAAACAATACATATTTATTCTCTTACAGTTCCAGAGGTCCACAATCTGTTTCACTGGGCTAAAGTCAAAGTGTCAATGGGGCTGGTTTTTCTGGAGGATGAGGGGAGAAAATGTTTCCTTTTCCAGGTTCTAGAGTTTTATTCCTTGCATTTCTTGCTATAGCCCCTCCATCCATCTGCAAAGCGAGGGGCTTAGTATTTCTCATTTCTTACTGTTTTGGTCACATCTCCATCTTCTTTGTCATCAAATTTCCCTCTTATAAGGACTCTTGTGATTACTCTAGGCTCACCTGAATAATCTAAAATAATCTTTCCATCTCAAGATCCTAACTTCATCACAGCTACAAGTCCATTTTGCCAGAGAAGGTAACATTCACAGGTTCCAGGGATTGGGACATGGACATCATTATTTATTCTATTACAGGTGATATACTTGAGGGTGGGTTGGGGTTGGGATGAAAGATGGAAAAGCTTTCAGTGACAATTTCTGACAGTAATAACACACGTATGTTGAATGCTCACTCTGTGTCCACCCTGGCACCATCCTGGACCCTTTACAAGCATCAGTTCATTTAATCTACAGCATCCTGGCTGCAGGGCTGGCACTTGTTGGCACGCACTGGTGGGCTCGCATCAGCATTCTCAGCATCTATGACAGGTGATTGCCCATGGTCAAGGCCACTCGACTAGAAAGTGGCAGAGCCAGGATTTATACCCAGGTACTCTGGCTCCAACATCCATGAGTCCAACCACTCTACTCTACTGCAGTTCCTGCCCCTCATCTGTTGAGAAGCAACCCGCTGTGAAGAGGTGGGTCTTCATCCAAGGACACCAAGAATGCTGGACCTTTAGAGCTGGAAAGGACTTTATAGTTTATGTCCTTACTCATCTCACTTCACAGTTGAAGAAACCAAGGCCTTGAAATTAAGAAATTAATCGAAATTGAGAGATTAAGTCATTAACTCAAAGTTATATAACCACAATGGCAAACCCACTGGGGTGTGTGCTCTCCCCTAGTCTAGGCTAAGAACTCTCACTCAGCTCTCCACACCCATGCTATGGACTGAATCCTGTCCCCCTAAAATTCATATGTTAAAGTCCCAAAGTCCCATCCCTCAGAGTAACCATATTTGCAGATAGAGACTTTAAAAAGGTAATTAAGGTAAAAGGAGGCTTCTAGGGTGGGTCCCTAATCTGATATGGCTGGTGTCCTAAAAAAGAGACAGGCAGCAGGGATGGAAATGCAGAGAGGAAAGGCCACGTGAGGACACAGTAAGAAGGCAGCCGTCTGCAAGCGGAGGAGAGAGGCCTTGGGAGCAGCCAGTCCTGATGACACCTTGGTCTTGGACTTTCAGCCTTCTGAGAACTGTGGGAAAATAAGTTTCTATTCTTTGAACCACCCATTTTGTTATCACAGTCCTAGCAAACTAATATGCCCCAGACAGGCCACAGGCCTTAGAAACTGAGCTGGAAGCAGCTAGACCATGGTTCAGATTTCTGGAGTTTCCCAGAAGAAAAAAATGAAATTTCTAAATAATTTTCAATATCATAAAAGCCCAAGGGAAATGTACAAAATACAGTCTAACTAAAATTCCAGGTTTCATTGCTTTTAGGTAGCATTATTACAAATCAATGTAGTAACATCAGCTATCTCATACTCATATGAAACTTTAATTAGCAATATATGCCTTTGATTAATTTAAAATGAGAAAATTATTTCTAATTTAATAAAGCAGATTTGTTTGATAAATCAAAACCTCAAGATTTTTCATGAAAAGAAAGTTGAGCAGGAACCACTGCTTTCAAGCCCCAAATTCATTTATGTGGATCATCCAAGACTCATGCTGCTTATTAATCCTCTTCAAACTTCTAGAGCTCTTTCAGGGGCAAACTGAGCAAAGTATATGGCTTTACCCATTTGTCCCATCAGGGGTGTTGAAAGCCACTGTTTTCAAATCTGGGAGTGCCACTGACATTTGCTGGATGCTGGATGTATTTGGTTATTTTCCTGAGAGTCAATGACATTTTAAGTGAAAATGATCTCAAGATAACAAAACATGAAAACAGTCTAACTAAGGAAGTAGATGGACTGAGCTCTTCTAACCTAACAGAAGCAAAAGCAAAAAGTCAAGATATTCAGTATATGTACTAGTGCCCTCAAAAGTGGGTATCTGAAAGTTTGAAAAACAGGACTTTAAAAATGAATTATTTATTTACTTAGAAATGAATTATTTAATTATTTAATTTAAGAGATAATAGCAAAGGTGTGAAAAACACAAGCTTCTATTAATAACAGAAGTTTATTAAATGCTTTATAGTAAAATAGTGAGCCCATCCTATTACAATACACAGGCTGGAGGTTCTAACAAGTAACACTGCGCCTCAGCTGAGAAAGCTTGTGATGCAAATGCAGGTGGGTCGTGGGGCGCTACGCAGCCAAATGTACACACCGCCTTCTGCTCGTCCATGGCAACCGCATCCTGATGTTCAGAAATGCTTAGGCATGGGGGAAAACCTGTAAAATTTCCTGAGTATTCCATCAAACAATTCTTAAAATATGTTACCTTAAGGGAAAACATGAAAATTTTCTGATAGACACATCCATTTTTAATATTTATTATCTTCAATAACTGAGAACCACAAGCCTAAAAGTGTAAAGTCTTTGGAGTGATCATAAAGCTCTCCAGCACAAGGTAAATTTCAAGGCAATTTGTCAAGGCCTGAATTTTCTTGAAACACCAAGCTAGTGGCATGTGAAGACTAAGAGAAACGTCGAGGTTAGCTGATTGTTTTCTAAATACCAGTACCTAAAAAATATTGGGGGAGAATAAGGATGTGGGAATGAGTGGATATTGGATGGTACCAGATGGCTAGAAAAAGGTACTAAGACTAGTTAGCATTAACTAGCAGATAATGTGTCATCGTTAATTGGTCAACATTTTCTTCATGTATATAATTATTTCAAGATCGCATTTCTGCAAACTATCTTGGTTCATTTACTTCTTCAAGTCAGTTTGCAAAGAAATTTTGATTCTTATTATATCTAGAGTTAGAGCTAATAGCATTTTGATACTTATCCCTAAATATATCTGGCATTCTCAGCCATGGCTCTTGAATACATTGTTTCTTGATAAAACATCACCAAAACAGAACTGATGTTAAAAAAAAATACTACCTACTTAAAGCTCAGGATAAGATTCACAACCAACTTAACCAATTCATATTATTGAGTTCATATAGAAACTAGATCTTTTTCCTCTTAAATAATTTAACCAATCCTATACAAGAGCAATTATTCAGAAAATCATATCCTATGATTTGCACTGACACTCATTTATAAATAAATATTGACTATTGGGCCGGAATTTGGTACTTCCGGTTCACACTTTGGAACCCAATGTTTTCCATACTGGACACTTCATTCTATGAATATAACAATCAATGAAAGAACTTAAAAGTAAAGAAAAGGAGTTTTAATTTGGATGCAAGTATTTTGTACTCATATTAATAAAAAAAAATCATGCTTTCAAAGGAATGGAAAAATAAAATCATATGTGGTAACATAAAGTACTGCAGTCAGAAGTAACCCAAACATATAACCATCTCCGTCACAGAACTAAGCAGCCAGTTCTAATACACTACAAACCATCTGATTAAAAAGGCTTCCGGCCAATGCTTTAAGAAGGAAACACTGTTGAAAAGAGTTTTAAAATATATACTCTTGTAAAATGATATGTTTTTCTAAACATTAAAACCTTGTTTCAGAAGTTCCCCGCTTTAGGTTGTTACTCAAAAACTCATCATGTTCAAAACTCAAATTATTATGAGACCTTGAAATCATAAGAAGCTTCTCCTTATTGGTAAAGTCTTTTTTGATTGCAACTTGGGGCACGAGCAACCTGTCCATCGGGTCCTCTTTGTTCTCTAGTTTCACGTATCCTTTGCTGTTGTTTCGATCCAACCTAGGCCAACTTGGATGTTTCCGTTGTTCCGCCTGAACAGTGAGGGTGGAGGGACCCCGGTCTAAGTCTAAGGATTTCGAGTGCGACGAGAGCAAATGCAACGATGTGTTGGACCCAAACTGTCTTCTAGCAGCTCCAGGAGACAAGAGCTGCCCAGGCCCAGGTCCAAGGGCCATCGAGGACTTGTACTGACTGGACAATGACTCCCCAACGGAATTATTCCTCGGGAGCACCATGCTGCCTGCAGCCTGGCATGATTCCCTGGTGTTGGGCAAAGGGACCGGAAGGGAATCCATTGACAAATTCCTTGACCTACTTCTGAGGTTATCAGCATCCTCGGTGATGTTGTCTATACTGGGCTCATCAATCACACAGTTATTCAGTTTGATCACAGGCAATGTGAAAGCACTGATGGACGATGACACAATTGACTTGGTTTCACATTTCTTAGGGCCACTGGTCTTATCATCGGCTGTCTTGGAAGGAGGTGGATAGAGGCCAAAGACAGAGACAGAGCTGTCAGAGAGCAAAGGGGGCATAAGATGCCCCAAACTTTTGCTTTCATTTAGCATAAGTTCATCCTCCTCCACAGAGCTGTCCATTCGAAAACTTCGAAACCCTGAGAAAGAGGCGATCGTATTTGCTGCCAGTCTTGAAGCACAGGAGCTCCCGTTCTGTTTCACTTCTGTTTCTCCCACCAAACCGGTGTACATGCCGTTCATCTGCTTCTGCTCCTTGAGTCTTAGCGTGTGGATGTCAATGACGGTGGAATAGATATCCCTCATGTGTATGATTTTGGTTTCTTTGTCACGGTTTTCATGAAGAATGGCATTAGCACAAATGAAAATGAAAATGCCAATCCCCATGGTGAAAGGGCCAAGCATTTTCATTTTATCGGAATGCAAATGCTGCTCAAAGAAGCGCACCACCACACCGCCCTGGTTCCGAATGACCTGAGTTTCATTTGTTGACAATGTTGTTTCGGCATCTATAAAGTGTTCTTTTTGGGGCCAATATCCAAGGACCGCCATTGCGATTCCTACGATGGAGATAAGCACTCCTAAAATGAGGAAGAAACCAGACGGGGAATAAAGCCGGATTTTGCCACGAACAACCACAACATCGGCCCGGGGCCGACGCCTGACTGGTTTCTTCTCTTGGGCGGCAGGTGACGGGCTGAGGTTGACATGCTGCTGTGACCTGGCAGAGTCTTGCCTTTTTAAGGCGGCCAGGCCGGTTATCACTCCACCAGTTGCTATCATAGCTTGGCCTTTTATTCTGAAAAGAAAGGAAAAAAGATGATGATCAAAATATGTTCCTAGAGTATGCTCATCAATTCAGTTCGAAATTTGCTTACATATAATTTTTGTTGCTGTTGTTTCATATGATGAAATGGAGTGGAAGAATATCTTTTTAATGGACATAGTTTTGGTAGAAGTTTTGTTTATTGACTCATGTAAAAATCTGGAGATTTCCTGTTTTAGCTGAGTGTTTCTATTATTGATGAACTGTGAACTCAAGGTATATTTTATTTAAATAATTTTATCACTTATTATGTAAAACAGTCCCCTGGTTACAAGACTGATTCTCTCTCTTTCTCCCTCTCTTTCACTCTCTTTTTCTTACACACACACACACACACACACACACACACACACACACACACACACAAACACACACACCATCTATGTTATTTTAAGGAAATGGAAAAATTCATAATACTTAATAGGTCAAACAAATAGATCCCAGGGTAATGAAAAGAATACTTTCTAGCAATTCATGGTTCTAAAACCTCTCTTGTGAAAGCCATTGATGAATTCTTCACTGCCACATTTAGTTTCCTCTCTCAGTTAGTATCTTCCTTGCCTCTCCGTTTCCATGGATGTTATTGCCTTTCCTTTGTCAACACTCTCTGTTCCCCAGTTTTCTATCATACTAAGTCTTCCTGGTTTTGCCCTGACCTTGCAGACAATTTCAATAGTCTCACCCCAAAGCAGACCACTGGCCCCTAGAGTCCTTAGCCATCTTCTCTTCTGTGCTCCCCCTTGGCATTCAAATCTCCTCCTACATCTCCACTATTTCCTTTATGCTAATAAGTCACACGTCCATATTTCAGGTGGTATCCTGAGTTTCAATTCCACATTTTCAACTGCCCACGGGATTACACATTCATGCACTGCTGGCAAAACTACACTCACCCTCCCCTACACACCAGCTGTTCCACGTGTCTCCTCTGACTTTTCAAATGGGTCACTGCTCGGGCTTGCTTCTTTACAGTTATCTTTAATTCCCCCTTCTTCTTTCTTATCTCCCAACCAGGTTCTAAATCCTAGATATTTTCACCAAATGATGTCTCTTAATTTCACCCCTCTGTTCCAGTCCTACTCTTCCCAGCTTCATGCAGCTCTTATTAACTTTTACTAGACCATGATATAACCTCCCAACTGGTCGTCCCAATTCCAATTTCTCTTCCTTCACAATCAAGCTTACATGCAGATGGCAGTTTAAATGTTCTAAAACACAGCTCTGAAGTTGTTTAAAGAGTGAAATAATAGATAAAATATTCCCCACTACCTACCAAAGTTTAATCTGGGATTCCAGACCCTTGGAGTGTAACTTTTTCCTCTAACTTTTCCTTTTAACTTTCATAAAACTAAAACCTAACAATTATTTCCTATTTCTCATTCATATTCCATACTGTGCTGTTTCTGAGACTTTAAGAATGTTTCAGCTGTCCAGAATTCCCATCCCACCCCCGACCCCAGTCTTCACATACTGGCATCTGGCTAGTGACCAAAGCTCATATTCCACTTCCTTTATAAAGCCTTCCCTGATTGATACACCACACCCCATGTGAGTGCTCATTTCTCAGAGCATCTTAGCAAGTTTTCTCTGGCACTTAATCATATTATAATGTCATAGTTCTTTTACTTCATGTGGTTAAACATCAAATTTAATTCATATTGTTATTACCAGAAACATTCACTATAGTACCCTCCACATAGCACAAATGCATAGAAGTATTTGCTAAAATGCTAAATAAGGGAGCAATTCTTCCCCTGGGATCTGATGGATGACCATTACATTACTATACTAACTTTCCTAGTTAAAAATATGAACAAACAAAATTGATACCCAAACAAAAAACAATATTTTGTGAGTTGGTAAAATACTGTTTTGATTTGTAATAAACAGTTCTTGAGCTGCCAAATCTGGCTGGTAGGAAAACAGAGGATATTTTAAGACCAGGGCATCGAATCTCATCTTGCAGCATTGAGCTCTCCTTTTGAATTTCTATTTATGATTTCTGAATTGTGTTTAAATACCAGGGTTGTGGATGACATCTACAGTTTTAGCAAGCTGGTGAGTAAATCCAGCCTTCAGTGAAATTATAACTAGGATTAAAATAGTTTAATGTTGGAAGCACAAACTAAATTGTAACCTGTAGCTCTAGTCTGTGAAAATTATCAAAGGGCACATATGACAGCTCAGAACCTCTCCCAAACCTTGGATAAAACAAAGCTTAGTGTCAACCTATGTTTTCTTGAACCAAAAACAGTTCCAAATCTTTGAATAAAATGCTTAGATTAGATAGCAGCCATCTAACCCAGTTATTTCCATATGGCAGGCTAAGGATTTAGTCTGAAATCCTGTTGAATAGAATAGAAACAAGGGCAAATGCCTTTCATTTGTTTTAAAAGCAACCAAGTGAACTGCATTCCATGCAGACTTCTCGTCCTCCCTCACTTTTTAAAACATTTTCTACAAGCACTGCCATTTCCTATCTTGAGGCTGATAGGAGAAAAGTCTAGAAGGGGGAAAAACATATTTTAAGAAGGATATGTACAGACAGAAGGGTGAAAAAGAGAGCTAGATAGCTGGGTTTCTGTGTAAGCATGCACAGTAAGCAGGTTAGACTAGACAGGAAGCAAAAGCCAAGGGTAGCTTAAGAGTGTGAACATTTATAGAAAACAAAGGGAGACAGAAACTTCTAGAGTAGCTTAGAAATAAAGAATAGAATTATGGTGGGTGGGGAGAAAGAGGAATCACACAGTTTCTTCAGCTAGTCTCCGTTGGTCAGTTCCACACAGGGCACCAAGACTCCCAAGGATGAGCAAAATGCCAAGGTCCTCTTTTATTTCAGTTCAAGGCAATTCAACACTACGTGAGCCTCTGCTATGACTCAGGGACCCAAAGTCGATCACGGGGTGGGAGAAGCAAAGGTAAGCAAATTCAGTCACTGCTTCCAAGAGCTTGAAACCTAATGAAGGAGCTAATATATCTACATAAAATAGAATGAGGTGACTCCTAGAATGGAAGTTTCCATTCAGGAAGGACAGGCTTCCTGCGGGAGATTGAACATTGATCAGTCTAAAAGCAAGTTAGCAGCATTTCAAGGAAAGTCGCAAGAAAGCAAGCAGGCTGGGGAACAGGAGCCTGGCCTGCCTTGAGTGCCTAGCTCAGCTCCGCAGCAGGTGAGCCAGGTGAGCCAGAGGGGGAGGGAGGGCCAGGCCTTGCAAGGTGCCATTCCTAAATGCTTGAACTTTACACTCATTCGCCATGGAGTTGGAGTAAGACACAAATACCATTGTCATTATTTTAGGAAAATTAATCTCAACTAGTAGATGAAAGCAGGAAAGAGGGACTGCTACTGGGAAGCAGCATGATAATGGTAAAGGCAGTGTCACAACAAGAAGGCAAGAGAAGCCAGAAAACCTAGAGTGAGTGAATCCATAGGGGTCCACATCTTCCAGCTGCAATGCCAATTGGTCCGAAGTGTTCAGTATATGCCAGAACAGCCCAAGTCTGCTTTTCTATTGATGCTGAAAAGCCACATCTCCACCCTACACTTCTGATCACTGTTGTTTTGGTTTTTTGTAGTGTGTGTGTGTGTGTGTGTGTGTGTGTGTGTGTGTGTGGCTTGGGAGATGTAGGGACCCTGTTGACCAGTCCCCTTATTGTAATACATTGTAACATTCATCTAAGTTTTAATAATAACAATAATAGTAATAATAGTTCTACAAGGAGAACTACGAAACACTAATGAAAGAAACTGTAGATGACACAAATAAATGGAGAAACATCCCATGCTCATGGATTGGTAGAATCAACATTGTTAAAATGTCCATGTTGCCCAAAGTGATTTACAGATTCAATGCAATCCTCATCAAAATATCAATATCATATTTCACAGATCTAGAAAAAATAACCCTAAGGTTCATTTGAAATCAAAAAAGAGCCTCAATAGTCAAAGGAATTTTAGGCAAAAGGAACAAATCTGTAGGCTTCACATTACCTGACTTCAAGTTATACTACAAGGCTATACAGACCAAAACAGCATGGTACTTGTATAAAAGTGGAGACATAGACTAATGGAACAGAATAGAGAACCCAGAAATAAAATCATATAGCTACAACTATGGGAGAAAATATTTACAAACTATACAATCTGACAAAGGACTAATATCCAGAATCTACAAAGAACTCAAATAAATCAAGAAGAAAAAAACAACCCCATCAAAAAGTGGGCAAAAGACATGAACAATAGTTTTTCAAAAGAAGACAGGCAAATGGCCAAGAAACATATGAAGAAATGCTCAACCTCACTAATCATCAGGAAAATGCAAATTAAAACTACAAAGAGATACCCCCTTATTTCTGTCAGAATGGCCATTAACAGAAAATCAAAAAACAACAGATGCTGGTGTGGATGCAGAGGAAAGGAACACTTACACACTTTTGGTGGGACTGCAAATTATTATAGTACCACCTCTATGGAGAATAGTATGGACATTCCCAAAAGAAATAAATCTAGACCTACCATTTGATCCAGTATTTCCACTGCTGGGTATCTACCCAAAAGAAAAGAAGTCATTTTATTAAAAAGACTCAAATGTTTATCACAGCACAATTCAAAATTGCAAAGATGTGGAATCAATCCAAGTGCACATCAATTCATGAGTGGATTAATAAAATGTGGGGTGTGTGTGTGTTTGTGTGTGTGTGTGTGTGTATATATACCACAGAGTACTACTCAGCCATACAAAGGAATGAAATAGAGTACCACAGAGTACTACTCAACCATAAAAAGGAACGAAATAATGTCTTTTGTAGCAACTTGGATGGAACTAGAGACCATTATCCTAAGAGAAGTTTCTCAAGAATGGAAAACCAAACACCATGTTCTAACTAATAAGTGGGAACTGAACGATGGGTACACACAGTCGCAAAGAGATCCAAAGGACACTGGAAACCAAGAAGGGGAGGGTGTTGTAGGG